AGACTGGGTGACATTTTCCAAACAGTGTTAAGGCAGTACAAACTAAAACAAACAACTCTTAATGGGAGAAGCAATTAGAAAAAGTTTAACTATGAGAAAGATATCCCACAGTTAGACTTTTTCATAATGAAGTCTTTGAACCGTTAGTGTTGTGTTGACAAGAGGAAGTGTTGAGGGCATTGGTTAGGACACCTGCTTTGAGCAATCAAAGGGCAAACACACATTAACTTCCTCCTCCACTATTCCAGCTAACAGAAAAGTGCACGTCACTTTCAAAACGTCCTCCTTCCTTACATATCAAGCCATAGTTTTAATGAAAGAGTGCATTTGAAGAAGCATGAAAGATCTGTGGGTTCTCCTTTTTGGTATCGGGCATGACTGACAGTCTTGTGAGCAAATGGTAAATGTCAGCATGATGTCCCGAGTCACATGTGATATCATCCTTTTTTTGTTTGTTCTTCTAGATTGTTTATATCTGTGTTGACTGGGGGATAAAAACAGAAGACAGTTGGATCATGACAACAGAAAGAAATACCAAAGCTCTGAAGGTAACACGGCGAAAAATTAAAATTCAGTTTTTATTATCTCAAGAACAATGAGTCCTGTTTTTACTAGAGGAAAAACTACAATGTTGAAAAGATGTTTCTCTCTCCTACCTATCGGTTAACTTGCCAGCTTTTTCTGCTCTTCCTTTCATATTTTGTTTCCCATTTCTTCATTCATCTGCATCCTCCTCTCTTTTCCATTCAGGTGAAACAGGAGTGTGGTGAGAACGTGCCCTTCCTATCGGACAGCGAGCTCATGTCCCTCTCAGTCCGGGAGTTGAACCTCCACCTACGCGGCTTGTCCCGCGAAGAGATCCAGAAGCTGAAACAGCGCCGTCGCACCCTGAAGAACCGGGGCTATGCCGCCAGCTGCCGGGTCAAACGGGTCTCCCAGCGTGAGGCCTTGGAGCAGCAGAAAATGGAGCTTCAGAGGGAGGTGGAGAGGCTTGGGGCTGAGAACGCTGGCATGAAGAAAGAGCTGGAGGGGCTCAGTGCGCGCCTGGCTGCCCTCCAGAGATTTGCTAGGGGTCTGGAGGCCGGAGGCGGCAACCTGCTGGCTACAGCCCCGCGCCTCAACACCGCCTCGGTTATCACTATCGTCAAGAGTCCACCACAACCTCACCCACAGAGAGAACAAGAGCCATCCTAGAAGGAGCTGTTGCGGCCAGACTTAGGGTTGGGGGGGATGCACAAACTGCAGTGCAAACACCTGAAAGAATAGATATACTATAACCACGTGGTGGAGAACAGGAAGACGATATTAGTAGGAAAACACTTGTCTGCATCACGCCTCGTTCACATTATGCAGCTGTCATTCAATGCTGTGTGACACAGAGTGGTGTGTAACACACAACAGCTCCTCAAAGTTTTCCAATGTAAGGGCCAGGAACAGTTAAAAAATCATCTCGGACTAGTGGAGGTGTCCTCTACTTAATGCTGGGTTTATGACACCATGATTAGTTGACTGAAATTTCCTCAAGTGTGTTCATTTAGAAAAGTTCAAAATGATGCAGCAGGTGTGATGTGAACGAGGGGTCGAGCACTGATGCACAGACCGCTCACAGTCCTGCCTCCATCCACAGGGGGTGTAGACATTGACTACATGAACTCTGACTGAACCAGAGTTACTGTACATCTCCATTTCTCGACAAATCCAGCTGCGGATGCTGTCTGACTGGTACCGCTTCAGTTTGTGGCACCTGACCAACAGCGACACACAGAGGT